AATATCTCGTCGCGAAGGTTTTTACAGTTCTCGGTGCTGTGACCGTGATCTTTATGAAAACTACAACACAAATTTTTATTTCTAACATTAGGGTCTGCCTTCAGCCGAGGTGGCCACTTCACATATGGGGCATCCTTGATCGCCATGAGGATCTCGGCCCGCTTCGCGTTGAGGGGTGTGTAGTCCCTTTCTGTTGCTGGAGCTCGGAAAGGCATATTTGGCTTTGCCCCCCGAGCTTGGTCCTTCTTCTTGCTGTCGCCCAGAGTTGAGGGCTCTGGTTCCCTTTTCCTTTTCTCGAGGGCCTGCTCACCCTTCTGGTTGATCTCTTCCTCCACCCCAATAAACCGATCCGCGAGCTTGAGGAACTCGGTCACGGTCTTGGGCTGGTTGACAACCACGTGCCACTTGAACTCTTTGTGGGTAATACCTTGCTTGGCTGCGGTGAGGCGAACTGCGGAGTCCAGATCGGGTATTTGTAGGACAAACGTCATTAAACCGCTTGATGTAACTCCGAATGGACTCCCCTTCCTTTTGAACTATGTCGAAGAGGCTTTCTTGAGTTCTTGGGCACCTCTTGCTGGTGACAAAGTGGGAGGTGAAAACTTGCACGAACTGCGCCCAGCTTCTTATCAAACCGGGCGCGAGGTTTCGGTACCATGTGTGGGCTACCCCTTTGAAGGTGGTGGAGAAGGCCACGCACATGTAGGATTCAATGGCCCTTGCCAGGTGTATCTGGAACTGAAAGGCGTCCACATGATCATTCGAATCGAAGGATCCATCATACTTGTCTAGTGGAGGGAGCTTGAAGTCTCTTGGCATGGGAACAGCAAGAAGTTCTGGAGATAGTGGGGAAGGAATTGAGAGGAGAGGAGTATCTTTTACTTCACCTGAGCTCACCTCCTCTTTACCTTTGATCTCGGGTGAGACACGGGTAGCAGTTCAGCGAGCTCGTTAGCGTCTTCGCTGCTGCTTTGTCGGCTCAGCGTTGGTGCTGCTTGCTTCAATGTTACCGAGCTCGATGGGCTCGGACTGCTGGTGGTAGCTCTGGACCGAAGGGCCCTGCCTGGTGTCTGCGGCTAGGACCTCAAACGGATTTTTTGCGAGCGGGAGCTCGAATTGCGAGTGCTGGGGCGATACGGGCTTGACTGGCTGGGAGACCCCCGACCTGCCCGTAGGCTGCGAGGCGGGGGTGACTAGCCTCTCCATTCTGCCATGGGGAAAGGCTTGGCTCTTGGAGAGATTCTGGGCCTAAGAGGCTTCTCTCCAACGAGGTCGTTCGCTCCGGCGGGAGGGCTTGGTATGCTTCGAGGTCGGGTGCCTAGGAGGGAGTGGTTGTTGGGCCTGAGGCAAGGAAGGGAACTGCTACTGATACTGGTACTGAGAGACCTGATGCAGCACTTGTTGCTGGTAGAGTTGGAACTGTTGGAATCGTTGCATTTGAGCTTGCATGGCTCGCATGCACTACACTAAGTCTTTCAACTGATTCTGGTTGGTCACTGGGGGCACAACCGAAGGTTTAGCAAAGGCCGCTCCAACTGCGGAAGAGAGTGGAGCGTTCACGGGTGCCACTATGAGAGGCACGTTCAGGCTGGGGATCCTGTCCACAGAGAAGGGGACAATGAACTGTCCGATGCAAACAATGGGAAGCTGGGGTTGCTCTCCAGAAGCGTTCTGGTTGGCACCACGCCCGGTGTTGCTGGAGGAGGCCATGAATGCTAAGTTCACGAAAGGAAAATGTAGAAACTTAGAGGAAGGCTTCTTTGAAGCGTTTCCCACAGACGGTGCCAAATGATGCTACGCAATCCAGGCACTCCTAGCTGGCAGTTGACTGGCTCCTCGTTGGCAACGAACGATACCTGAGAAGAGAGCGATGAAGGATTCCTGGGGGACTTGTCCGGTGGGAATACACCAATGCTTAAGTTAGAACACTAGAGAAAGCAATAAAGAGTGTAAAGAAGGGTAAGAGTGTAGGTCGCGCTAGATCACTGAGTTAGCTCGAGAGATAGTTTGAGATATTCAAGATAAAATATCAGATATTCGAAAGAGTGTCTCCCTTCAACTAGGGGGCTCTTATATATGAACGTTCTTGTCAAATCGGGCATAACCGCCACTGGACCTCTGTCGCAGTCGTTATCCGCCAGGGCTGTGTAGGTAACCATTGTAGTGTACTACCCAATCGGATGAGCGATACGTCCCGGAAGGACAGACACGCCACCACCTGTCAAGAGACGTGGGCGCAGACTTGTCAGGCTGGCAGGGACTGCGCCATCGGTCAGGAGACGTGGCGCAGTCTGGCGAGTACGGTCTTGTCAAATAGAAGCTTCCTGAAAACATCGCGTTGCTCAGTAGCGAGCTGCCCTGTAGCGAGCTACCCTGTCGCGAGCTACCCTGTCGCGAGCTACCCTGTTGCGAGCTACCTTGTAGCGATCTCCTGAGGGTTTCCCGAGGTGATTCCTCCTGAAGTGGCCCCTTAGGCAATTTTCTACCTAAGTACTGGAGCGAGTTGGTTATTCTAGCTCGCGAGCTAGGATAGACTTGTCTTGGAGTATTCCCTTTCAGTACACCAGGGGTCCTTGAGCTCGCGCTTTAGCGGGCTCCCCCTGTAGCGAGCTGTCCTACGGGCCCATTACTTAGTCGCGGTCAGGTTGTGATGCTGAGTTGTTACTTATGCTGAGTCATGTCCACGTGTAACTGTCCCAAGGGGTCGGGCCAAATCACCCTCCATTAGTTACAAACAAATGCAGCTTGAGTTAAAAACAATGAATACAAGTAAAAGTGTCTGCTATTTGGTACTTTTTACCAATGTCTGGACTAGTGCTACTCAAGTTTCATTAAGAATCCTCTTCCAATGGAATAGCAGATATCCCAACATTTTGCGATTTAGCCTCTTGTATTTTTAACCTGCAAGCTTGTTGACTCGGTTCAACTTGTTCTTGTTAACCATTCCACTAGACATTTTTCCTATAATAAGGAAAATGTTTATTTAGGCTATATTTGGTTGCAGTGCAATTTTATTTGAGCTAATGCAATGCCATGGTAGTGCAAATGATTTCAGTGCAAATTATGATTTATTTTTATTTCAAAATTTATCTTATTTTATTTGATTGCAGTACAAACGAAGTAATATAAGACCTGAAATAGAATAAAATAAAAATCAAAACAAAATTAAACCAGAATTTGCATTATTTTCACTTGTACTCCCAAGCATTTGTATTAGTGCAAATAAAATTGCACTGCAACCAAACACAGAAAGAGTATAAATACAAATATGTAGAGTACAAATACATACAAAATACAAGATTTTACACTCTACATATTTGTATTAGTACTCCTTCCAAACTAAGCCAAAGAAAAAAAGAGAAACCATTTCACCAGATGTTTTCACCAAGTTGGCTTTAGTATTTCAAGAAGTAAATGAAACTACATGGACCTCAATGAACCATTAGCACCAATAAGGGTTAAGATTAGTAAAGGCCCATTACCCAATATTGGTCTCTAGGGGTGCAAATGGATCCTATTTGGTCGATTCAGATCGCCCCCTATCCAATCCGATGTGTTATATATTTATAAATACAAATATATATATATATATATATATATAAATATATATATAATACATGTTATTTATTTATTTATAAATATATTATTTATATTATATTTTTATAAATTTGTTATATTATTTATTTTTTATAAAAAACATGTGTATATATATGATGAAAATAATTAAAAATATTTGTATTTTTTGTTTTTCCTTTATTTAAATTGATATATTTTATTTTTTTTTCTTTTAATAATTTATTAATTTTTAAAGAAAACAAATTGGATAAAATCAGATCCAAAGATCCAATAGGATTCGAATTCAAACTGAGTCTTATCAGATCCGATCGGACCTTTAGATCAGATTAAATCCGTTGTTGGATTCAAATATACCCTGATTCAAATCCGATCTCAAATTCAAATATATCCTGATTTGAATCCGATCCGTTTGCATTGATCTCAGCAATGTAGGATCTTAAGATGGATGGACAAATATGGACCTAATCTTTAGTGGTTTTTTTTCGCATAAATAGTCATTCTCATATTCAAACATGCTTTCTCGTGCTTGTCGGTCTGAGATTTTACCGTTTCACCAAACACCACCCCCCCTAAGGCCATTACCCAATGGCCAATGTTGGTCCCAGCTGGTTACGGTATTGAGAGGTAGACGGGATATGGACCTAACCTTTGACACACAAAAGTGGTCGTTGACAGATCAACCCGCATTCTCACTCTTGTCAGCCTAAGATTTTAATATTTTATAACTACACCATGCAATGTAACACCCCCCAACTGTAATTAATACCACTATGCTAAGAAAAAGAATAACCCTAGTCATTCACCATGATGGAGAACAATTGGAGAGGGAAAGATCCTGAGTAGGAACTAAAGGAACAATCTTGGTCTTCACTGCAAAGGTTGGAAATGGTTTCCAACTTTTATATTGATTGTCTCAAGCATACATAGCATAGCTACCTATATTGATCTAATAAGACTGTTTGGTTCACGAGAATAGGGATCTAGAATCAAATCTTATTGCACTCCCCCATTTGCGGGAATGGTCATTTCCTCCCATCCCCTGGAAATGAAAATCCATTCCGATTGATTCTGATTCCAATTCCGATTGAAGATAACTGGAAGATGGCTTGGGATGCTGAGATTCAAATTAATGTTAGTTAGATATATTGATAGATGAACCAAGCAGTGGACACCACCATCAACTAGTTGCTTCTTCAAAATTCATCATCTAAAACTTGTCCCAACAATATGGGGTTGGTAATTTCTTTTTTTTTTCTGTAAACCATTGAAGAAAATTTAAAGACGGAAGCGCTGCATCCATTTGATCACTACAAAGTAAAAGCTATATCCATTTATGGAGTCAATTTTAAGTTACTACTACAGTGCTTACTAATCGATGATCCCTTGTTAAGTATTTGGGCCAACCAATGCATGTGCACCATTTCTATCATGCAAAACAGGCGGTGTTGTATTACTCTCTTCAACAAGATATTAGGTTGGCAACATCCAGAAACAGCAAAATATCAGGCACAAGTTCATATTCAACGAAAGGATAACTGTGTACAGACCACAATACAATGTTAGGGCATCTCTAAATCTGCAACACTTTTGAGTAGCACCAAGTCAATGCAAGAACCTATTCATGGGCAGCCCGTCAGGCTCATTGGGTCAGGCACATTCAAATTTTGGCAAACCTGAACCCAAGCGCGGCGTCACAGCCCATGAACAGGTCTTCCTACAGTAAGATCACTCAATCTTCATGGACCTCAAGCAGAAAACTCAGAACTTCAAGCGCAAAGGTGGTTACTCATACAGATCATACATAGAACAGTGCCATGAACTTGTAATTCTTCTCTACCTCTTTTTAAAACTTTGCATTCTCCACGTGAAAGGGTAATCTTAAAAGATATGTATAGATAAATTTTAATAATTTTCCTGCCACAGAAAGCAAGAGGAAAAAATAAGCATGCAATTTGATTAGGAAAAATTCAAATAAATCACATTAAATTCTCAATGAAAAATGAAGAATGAGGGACAAGATGGAGCTGGTGAACTACAGACAAAGGTAAAAAACACACAAGACAAAGCATGATATGTGTGTATGTACAACCATGAACTTATTCCATATAACTACATATATTGTCCATGAAAAAGAAAAGACGCTGCATGGAATAAGCATGATTATAGATGACACAGGTATAAAAGCAGCCCTATAATTTACAACTGACACATTCGAAATACAAACATGCATTCAGAGAAATACAGATACGCCTTCAGAGAAAACACCCTAGCAAAGTGGTTTAATTCTACTTTCAGCTGGGTAAAAAGGACTGCCAATGGGATAGCAGGTGTATTAGCAAAACAGGGAGTTGACAGGCCTCTATTGTTTTGGGCAAAGTTGTAGCATGATGTAATGTGGGGAGGGAAATTCCTTTAATGACTGTACTAAACTCATGAATTCTTAATGAAAATTTTACTGATAAAAAAAAAAAAAAAATCTAGGACTGACACGTTTATAAGGGCCAAACACAACTATAAAGTGTTCGACATAATAGTCAGCAAACCCAAAATGCTGCAATATTCATCCAATCAATTTCACATATTTTGGTTCATGTTTCTAAACTTACTAAGTTTATTCAATGGTGCAACACAAAGCAATACTCGGAAATAACCAACCTATCTCTTTGAACCCATAAAAAATATTAAAAAAAAAAAAACTCCATTTCCACCCTTTTATTCACCAACTTGCTCAAGGCCTCCACAACTACCAAATAAGCATGGGAGAGAGGAGATCGTCTTGTCTCAAACCCCTCGAAGCATTAAAAAATTGAGTTGATACCACATTCACCAAAGCTAAAAAGAAGACTGACCAAATACATGCAAACATCCAGCTCCTCCATTTTCCTCAAAGCCCATTCTCCTCATAACTTCTTCTAAAAAAACCCATTCTACATGGTCATATGCCTTCCCCAAATCAACTTTGCAAATCACCCCACCCTCCCCACTTCTAATTCTCACATCCACACATTCACTTCCAATCAAGACCCCCATAGTTTTCAAGGCACCAAGGCAAGTCTAGGTGACAGGGGGGGCGCCTTGTTGCCTAGTCAACTAGGTGATGGATTTTTTTCAAGTAAAAAACATATATCCTAGGGTAGTTCCCCATAACCCCATTTCCTTAACAATTATCCATAATTTTCACAAGAAAAGTATGAACTCCATGTTAAAATATTAGAAAATCAACATGTTCATGAGAAGAAAAAGGAAAAAAGAAAAGAAACTTCAAAAAATATAGGGGTTGAATCCCTATTTTTTTATAGGAAATGAAGAAAAGAAAAGGTGGAAGAAGAAGAAGAAAAAGAAGAAGTGTTGATTACACAAAATTTCAAGTTCTTCCTTACTTATTGGTTCAGGTTTTGCAGTCTTTGAGGGTTCACTACAGCATTTAACAATGCTTGTGATGATTAAACCCCAACAAATAACAAAATAACAAAAAGAAATTAGTATATAAACACACAAAATGGATATTTTAGTTTAATAATGTCTATTTAATTATAATCTTCAAAAAATAAGAATACAAAAGTATTTTATAACACAATGTAAAAAATTGCTTGGCGATTAGGTGAGCCAAGCCTCCAAGGGCCCTTGTCACCTAGGCATCGCCTTGACAACTATGCAAGACCCCATCTAAAAGTATGAAAGCACCTTGGCAATAATTTTATATGGGCTGGAAATCAGGCTTATAGGCCTAAAGTCTTTCATCCTAACAGCAGCATCAACCTTCGGAATAAGGTTGCATTCGCCTTTCTAATTTCTTCTCCACCCACAACTCCCTAAACATTTCCAGCATATCTTTCTTAACAATATTCCAGCACATCTTGAAAAAAGCAATGTTGAACACATCAGGCCCAGGAGCCTTTTCCCCCTTCCTTTTTTTATAGAATTCCACACTCCCTCCTCCTCCTCAACCTCCCCCTCCAGCCACTCCTTTAAACCCTCCTCAAATTGAAAAGCCACAACTTCCATCCTCTCATAATGTCATCTTTTAAAAACGAATCAAAGATGTCCAAGGTCTTGACCCAGTTCACCACCCTAATAGTTATACTTTCAATAACTGCCTCTTTGGATAACTTTCTTTCATTAGAAACTCTGTTGTTCCTTTCTTCCATATGGTCCATTTTGACATCCCTCTCCATCAAGGGCAATTTCCCCTATTACTTTGTCAGTTTTCAGTCCTTTGGGCTGTTACTCTCAGCCCACCTCATGGGTGAATAGGTTCTATTTCCCATCTTCTATATCATTAATAACAAATCTCTTTGCTCCTACCATTGATCCCAAACAGGCTCACATTCTCTATCAGAATCTTGCATTTCCTCTCTCCTTTTTTGACTTTCCCTTAGCCCTTCTAGAACCATCAACTTACATTGAATCACTTTCAACTAGATTGTTGCACTTTAGTCAAAAAGAGACGATTTCTAACCAAAATTACCAACTTTGATCCATTGACTTTTTGGCTTACATTTTTATCAAAGATCCATATTATAAATAAAAAAAAAAATCACTAGATTATATACTCAAAACACAACTAGACAGATCTCTGTGGTGCATCATCATTAGATGTATTAATCATGTTTGTTAGAAATGCGGTGCAGGGGTTGAAAGAAAGGAAAAAAAAAGTCATTGAAGGAGAAAAATTACAAATTCGGGGAAAGGCTACAAGTTTGGGGGAAAGTTGGCTTTTGGTGCTCTAGCCATTCTTGGGGCCCACAACTCTCATTCCAACCCTTCTAGACCCTCCACTCCACCTCCTCCAACAAATATTCCTCCATGAAGATGGCTGTCTCATTCCAGAACCCCAGAGTAACACAGATCTTCTTATTTTCCCTAACATAATGGGCTTCTTCAATGTCTAACAATAGCATTCCTTTCAAACAAGGCAGTCATATTGTTTTCCTGTTTCTTATTTTTTCATGCGATATTAATAGCATTTTTAAAATTCAAAAAGAATCATATCATATCCTATGCTTAATTATTATTTATTTAAGAACTAACATGATTCACAAAAGAAAAATTATTTTCATAGTTATGAATGAACAATTTACTTGTAGTTTGGCTATTTCTGATTGCTAGATGCAAATTTGGTATGAAGCTGGAACATCAAAAGCTATGTAGGAATTAGGAAATATATTTTTTTGAAGGTAAATAAAGAAAAAAAAATTATATTAGGAAGAAACAAGAAAGGAGATTACAATGGGTGATAAGGGATCACCCCTGAAAAGAACAAAACACCCTGCCACCCCAACATTCCACAACTTAAAACATAAAACAACCTAGACAAAACTCTCGAACCACCTACTAAAGCCCAGATATGTCCATGCCTGACCTCCTTCCTGAACCCCCTCTCAAAAAACCTGGTCATTTGAACAGACTGCCCAAAACTCCCCATCCCCTACCAAGCAAAAACAAAATCACTTCAGACCTTCGTCGGTTGAAACAACAACCTCTTTTCTTCTCTTCAAAGCTTCTTCTGTCTTCATAGTCCTCTTGTTAATTCCCACTCCAAATAGACCTCCCTTTTAACCTTGCAAAAGCCTTTGAAACGGGGACAACTCGATAATTTTTATGATGTTGTTTAAATCTTTTAACTGGATTGGACAGTTAATGTAATTTGTTTGGGCAACAGGAAGTAGTTATGCCCTCCAAGTTACCACACATGTAACATATGTTATACTCTGTAGTAATTTCTCTACACAGACTATTGCAATCATCACTACTTTAAAATCTCTTGAACTTCCACAGAGAAAACAATTTTTTCCTCAAATCCCCAAAAAAAATGTGCCGTTTCAAAATTTTGCAATTTTTTCTATAAAATTTCTGATTATTTGAGTATTGAAATTCCAGAAATAAAAATTGGAAGCCCTGATTCTAATTCCGTGATTATCAATTGAGAATGAATACCATATACAACAAAACAAAGGAACTAGAGAAGCTATTGTACCACAAGAACAACCAACTTTTAAGTGCAAATAGATAAAAGCAATGAAGAGGACAAGGGAAATTACCTGTTTAAACAGTGTGCTGTACAACACAAAAGAAAATCTGAGCAGCCAAAAGCCCCTCAGAATAAGAAAATGTTGAAAATGATTGCAATTTTCCTTCTGCTCTTTTAATTTAGCATACTTTCTTCTCTAAGAACCTTGCGTTCTATCAACTTCTGATGTAACCTTGTAGCCTCTTCTGGCATACCAGAAGCAGCTATCCCTTTAATAAGAGTGGCATAGATCTTCTCGTCGGGCTTGCATCGACTCAATATCATCATTTCTAGAACTTGGATTGCTATATCAACCTTGTTATTTTTGCATAATCCCTGGATTACGACATTGTAAGTACTTGTTCTGATCCTATGATTTCTCCTACCCATCTCCTTCAAGACTTCCACAGCCTCCACAACTAAATCCCCCTGGCAAAATCCTCCAATCAATGAACGATGAGTAATATCATCAGGACTTATCCCATTCTCAATCATCTCACTGTACAGCCTTGTTGCTTTCTTCATATCACCTTTCTTGGCTAAACCATCAATGACAGTATTATAAGTGATTAGAACAGGAGAACAGCCAATGGCAGCCAAACAATGAAGGATATGCAAAGCCTCATCTGTCATTCCCTCTTTACATAAAGCTCCCAGAAGAGTATTGTAAGTGATGATGTCAGGAGAACAACCCCGACAAACCATTTCATCTAAAAAGTCAATGGCCCGATCCAGAAGCCTGTGTTTACAGAGACCATTGATCAAAATATTGTAAGTAACAGTAGTGGGAGGATTTGAAGTCTCATTCATGATTGAGAGGATCTCATCCACATCATCCCAACACCCGCGACTGCAGAAACAATGAAGAAGCGTGTTGTAAGTAATAGCATTGGGTTCCATCCCATGTGATAAAAGATTAAAAATCACCAAAGTTGTATCTTTGTACTTCCCTTCCTTGCAAGTAGAATTAACTAGGGAATTATATGTCACAATATCAGGATAACAGCCCTCAACTGCCATGTCCTCTAACACCTCCATAGCCCGTTCAGCTCCATAGTACTTGCATACTAGCTCTATAAGCACAGTATAAGTGATCAGATATGGAGGACAGCCCTTTCTCAGTTGATCCTTCCAAAACCCAATTGCCTGATCAAACCTACCATGTTCAAACATGCAGCGAAGTATGGTGTTATATGTAATCACATCTGGAGGACAACCACTCAAGCTCATGTCATCTAAGAGATCAACTGCAGACTTCAAGTATCCTTTCTTACAGAAGCCACCTACTAACATGTTGTAAGTGATAATATCTGGCAGTCCACCAGACATGATCATAATCCTCAGGATATTTGCAGCCTTGTCAATCCGATCAACTTTAATCAAACCCCGGATTATATTTATGCATGTGGGAAAGTGGGGAATCTGGCTTTTACGTGCCATCAAATCAATCAAATTTGATGCTTCAGTGAGCTTCCCCTTGCTGGAGAAACTATGAAGGACATCGTTGTTGGTTTCTTCATCATTTTCAACAAAAGGTCCATCTAGACACAACAATGGTGAACTTGGTTGCCTCTTTACAGATCTTTCAAAAGTCCGGTCATCCTTTCTACCCTCATTGCCTCTGTCGATGCAGATACTTCTCTGCTGCCCTATGCAATGTGGCAGAAAAGTATATCCTCCAGAAGAAAAACCTGCCTGCCATTGTAGGCAAGATCCAAGTTTTCCCTTGCCCTTGATAAAGCAATTGATGTGAAATGCAGATACCCTAGTCCACGAATACCGGCCAATGCCATGTTTAGGATTGAAATGGTTGCGGCTCAAATGCATTCCATGGAGAAAAAGCATACCACTTGTAGAATTCTGTGAGAAAATTGTGAACTCCATCTGTACTGAACTCCAATGGCTTGCAGAGATGAATAAACGGTGCTTCCGTATTCAGAAACTTTTCTTTTCAACCCTATCAAAGCAAGCACAGATTCAACTAGTTTCTTACGAGAAACCCCATGAGAAGTCGATATTCAAAAAAACCGACATGAGACTCCTGAAATCAAGAACACTGAAGATTTAGAACTTCTAAGAAAGAGGAATGACTAAAAATACCATTTTCCTATCCACTTAAGATATTAACAGAAAGCATTGAAACCTATTTTTAAATTTTCCACAAAACTTTGAGAGAATATTTGAGTTCTACTWCACGAAGAAACATGAAGTTGGGTGGAAAGACAAAGGTCAAAATCGGAATTAGAGAAACACGAACGAATTCGGAAATCCAGTTCTAACCTGTACAAGAACTAAAAAATTAACAAGCTAAAATATGTTAGAAGGAAAACAGATAATGTTAACCAAGTCGTATAAATATGGTAGATTGTAATGATTGATTATTGATATCACATTAACAGAAAAAAGAAAAATTACAGAAAACAAGAAAGTTGTTTCAAGGAACAGGAGAATAAGATACTAAAAATTTCACTTGACCCTGGAGAGAGGAAGCTTACTCTTATCTGTTCTTCTGTTTGCTGTTTTTTATTGGTCTCTACAGTGGGGAAAGAGGGGAAGACAGAGTGGGAGACTTCTGTTTATTTTCTTCCCAGCTACTTGCGGCTATTGGGACGTTAATAACTAGGGCTCGCAAAGGGAGTCCAGATCTCCTGCCCACGTCTACCCGATGTAACATCGCAGTCACACATCACACATGAAGAACTCATAATAACGTGGCATTTTTAAATATTCTCTACAGCATAATTGTTGGCCCTACGGGGAGATGTTCTCAATCCACGGGGTAGTATGTTGTAGGTAGACGTGGATAGATAATCCGGAGGAAGGAGAAAAGTGTGATAGACGGATCAGATAAGCTTAACCATTGATTGTGGGCCCTTCTCATAACTACTTTGTCCCACGCCCAAGGAGAATAAGAGACCATATTGCCCCCCCACATGCACATCTCAGCGTGCATTGGGATCAGAAGTTGTGACTTGGAGATGTTTCAATACATGGTTGTAGGGCGCAGATGTGAATTTGAAAGGAAAAATTGGGAGTTCAAATCAGCCCCCCTACAACGTCCCACAATGCATCCCCACCGTGTACCGAAACATCTCCCGATGATAACATCATCATTAATTAGCTACTCCAATAACTCCACTTAGACTGTCTTTGGGCTAAACCTATAAAATTATCGTTTTCGATGTATTGATGTAGCCCCACTTTAGGTGGTCACTTCATCCAATTCAAGGTGGAGCCGCAACAATGCATCGAATGATCTAAGTGATATGTCTTGGTCTTGGCTAACACCATCTTGGTAACCTCTTTCTATAAATAAACGAGAATAGAGATGCATTCCAAATAAGGCTATAGTTGAACCGAGCTCTAAACGAATAGTTCATAATCGGTTTTGATTAGGCTCAAATTGAGTTTGATTTTAATAGAGCTCGCATCTAGGGGAGGATTTGAGTCGATTCGAGCCAAATACTTGGTTATTCGAGCTCGGCTCGCTGAAACTATATTTGGCTCCAGCTCAAGCTAGAGACTTGAGCTCGAGCTCGACTCGGTTTAAAGCTCGCAAGTTCGAGCTTGGCTCAGCTCGAGCTCGATTGAAGCCAAGTTCTTTTCTAAAATAAAATTTATACATATAAAAGTACTTTTTATTTTACATACAAAAAATTAAGAATTATAAGAATTATTTACTATTATACAAAAATAAAAATATTATATATAAAAATTCTTATATATAATAAGAATTATTTATTATATATATTTATATGTATGTATGCATGTATGTATGTAATAAAAAATATTTATTTATTATACTAGGTCCGTGAGCCTCTCGAGCCGAGCTTCACTAGGCTTGATTAGCAAACTAGCCTATATATCACTCTCGAGCTCGACTCGAAGCTCTATTTAAACTGAATCGAGCCGAGCTTTTCACGAGCCAAGCTTGAACAGCTTGTGAGAAGCTCGGCTCGTGGTCACCCCTACTCGCACCAAGTTTGAGCTTAACTAATAAAAAGTTTGGCTCAAAAGCTTTGTGATCTTAATTCGATAAACACATACATATGTACATGTGTATATATTATAGAATATAAAAAATATTTTATAATATATTATAAAAAATGTATTATTTATGTAAAATATATTTCATATTCTATATAGTATAAGAATATACTACATGTTATAAAAAATATATCATATATACAAATAAAAATATATTCATTTTGAACATTCGAGCTGAATTCTAACTCATCGAATATTTAATTGAATGAGCCTGAGCCAAAAAATATAGTTCAAATCAATTGAGCTCAAGCTCGAACTCGAACTAGATATTATTTTAGTCAAGCCAAGCCAATATGTGCCAAATTTTGGCGCAAATGGAATCTCCTACAAACAACAATTTATACATACTCTAAAAACACAAGCATTCAATAGGAAATTAGGAACACCTCCCCTGAATTTATTGCATGTGTACAGGAGATTTGGGCTCGGCAAATCCTAGTTGACATTGAATTCCATACTTGTATGTTTTCATTCATGGGAAGATGTTACCAATGCATGACTTTTTTGTGAGGATATTGTGAAGATGGTGTAAGGATGAAATCCATATTCATTCTGTCTACCCCAATCTTGTAAACTCATGGTCATGGACCCCCTCCCCCCTCAAAATAAATAAATAAAATGCACAAGATGTCTAAACTATGTTATTATTGTTCTAGCAATTTGACCCAATTTGTCAAAATTCTTGTTGCAAATGACTATGAAGAGGGAGGGAAATAAGTAGAGTGTAGAATGTGATGAGAGGAAAATAGATGAATTTAGATGTGAAACTCAATACCAAGGTTCAAAGTATCATAAGTATTGCATGGTATTGTGTGTATACAAAGTTATCAAAACTACACGACAAGGGAGTAGCCTATCCTCCACCCCCTACTGCCCCCCCCCCCAAACCCTGATGGCAGTGGACTTTGATCCCAGGTCTCTACTACAACGGGATAGAGATTATACCAATTGGTAGTTAGAGATATTAATAGTTTGAAATATCAACATTTATCTTAACAAGTCTATCTATAAAATATAATTTAAAAGTGTGTTTCTTGTTAGAAACACATGACATGGAATTTATGTATTCTGCCCATTCATGTTTTGAACATTGGCCAAATACATGTGGCAACATTATATAATAAGGATAAAGATAAAAATATTGTATAAATAAATATAATAAATACGATATATTATATATAGTATTTATGTTTATATAAATTATATAAAGCGGATACTTGCCTAGGGTTTTGTGCAGATCATAAAAGTTAAATTTGATAAGATATTATTAACTTATAGCTTTTACCTTACACAGGTGCATAGCAATTGCCCTCATACTAGTTTATGTGTTTGTATGTGTAAAATCTATATATATAATAGAAAGAGGAAAGTGGGGAAGTGAAGGGTCCTCTCATGATAGAGCTCACATGTGACTTCTCATACTCTCTTTTCTTGCACATGTGTATATTTGTTTTTAAATGAAATCATTAAAAAATATAACAACGCAAAATTAAAACCCTCATAGGTATTCATTGTCTATCATAAAATTCATATCTCTCTCTCTCTCTCTCTCTCTCTCTCTAATAGTCAATATTTGTAATATTTCCCCTCCCCATTAAATCCCTCTTTTCCTCTTAAATGTATTTTAATCACTTTTGACCCTATCTAATAAAGTAGGGGTGTTAATTAAATGGATTGAGATAGGTTAAGGGCCAACCTAAATATGAATCCTAGCTTTTTTCCTAAACTAATGTCAAAACCCAAATTCGCCCACCAATACATGAGGTGAACCATTTTTTCTTTTTATATAAAAGTCTAAAGAAACCATTTATCCTTTCCATGTGTTATTAGGTTTTTTCTATTATTAATTAATTTAGTGTAGATTTGTTCCATGAATTATTTTGGTTTAACAAGAAAAAAAAAAACACTTAACATGAACCTTTGGTTATCTTTGTCAATTAAATTTTGAAATTGTTTTTTAACTTGGTTATTGATCTCATGTTAAGCACATCTTTTTGGCTATATAATTTGAAGCTCAAAAACTAGAATAGGAAAGAAATTTATTTTTTCTACTATTCTATATGTAAAGAACTATAAATATATAAAAACTTTGATGAATCACTATTGCTTTGTTTTTTCCCTTCAAAATACACTTTTAGATAGCAGCCTGTGCACTACACGAGTCACCGCTAGTACTATATATAATATATATGTCATATCATTGTTTTAATTGTTGAAACTGGCGAATTATTAAATGAAAATTTAAGTTTGGGGACAAATGTCTTAGGTAGGGTGACATGTAAATTTAGGCCTTGTTCGTTTTGCGGTAAAAATGGTGATAAGTACGTGGGTCCCATGAAAATGCAATAATCCCATGTTTAATCACCACTACAATGGGGTTTGTAGTAGATTTTTTCCATTGAAGGGTGAATAAGTTACCTACCCACCTGTTGAAGATGTTAATCACTTTGTTTCTCATGCCTTTTATGGGCAATCATTGCACAAATCAAACGATGTATTTGTGATCTCTTGGCCAATGTTTTTCCATAAATCACTTGCCCAATGAAACGCTTTATCCAGGTAATGCAAAACAAACATGGCCATAGAATAATAGGATCTAAATCAATATACATTTACTCAATGTGACCATTTTTCGGTACCTTAGTTCAATAATTCATAACAAGGGAAAGATTGAGGAAGATGTCACCCAATGAATTTGATCAGGATGAGCAAATTGAAGGTGTGCATCTCGATTTTTATGTGATAGGCAAATACCACTTATACTAAAATAAATTTATATAAAACAGTTGTATGAGCAACTATATTGCATGTACTATGTAGAAGGGTGTTGGACAGTTAAGTAACAACATGTCCATAAAAATGAATGTGACATATATGCAAATGCTAGGATGGATAAGCGGAAAAAAATATAAATAATAGGATTATGAATGAAGTTATCCATAAAAATCTAAGAGTAGCTCTAATAGGTAAGAGAGAGAGAGAGAGAGAGTAGACTAAGATGATAGGGATGACAATTTAAAGGGAATTTTTTGGTACCTAACCTGTTTTGACACTAATAGGACCTGTTTATTAAAACCCTATAGGGTTTGGGACAAGTTTGGGTTTTGACTTTAGGGTATCCGACACCCGAACCCAAATACATTTAACGTGGGCACACACTTCCAACACCCGATTATAACACACATATATGTTTATTAAATATATCTTATATATGTTATGACAAATAAGATGCATAATAAAAAGAATTGGGATCAGATTCAAACCATTGCCCTTGTATACTATTAGATGCATCTTTAGCACTAGCCTACTATGCCATTTCTACATAAGAGGGTCATTACATTTTACTCACTTAATGTAAATTCAGGTGCAATATTCAAGTATGTACTGGAAAATGCAAACAATGTTGAAGAGGCAAATTAAAGAAATGTATATGAACTCTATACATGCTTTTGATACAAATAAATACAATGTAATATATATATAGAGAGAGAGAGAGAGAATTGTATATAATGTACAACTCTAATAGCTCTATGCATAAGAATCATGTATTTTAATAATTTATGACTCATGTGAAGTGTAAACTATCAAAATATCCAATGAAAATGTTAACATAAC